TCGATCTTTGATGACGAAGGCTCATGGCCTGAGTCCCAGTTCAACTGTTGTTGAACTTTGTCGATCTTTGATGACGAAGGCTCAAGGCCTGAGTCCCAGTTCAACTGTTGTTGAACTTTGTCGATCTTGATGACGAAGGCTCATGGCCTGAGTCCCAGTTCAACTGTTGTTGAACTTTGTCGATCTTGATGACGAAGGCTCATGGCCTGAGTCCCATATTGTGGGTATTGAGTGCTGAAGCTCGGTTTGGATTCGAGACCTTGAGCGGCTCATCCGTTGTCTTCCCAACCAGGGTTTATAGGCTGTCTTGAGGCGATTCTCGATCCGAGATTCCTCCGTGCTGGTTTTCGGCAAGAGCCCTTATCAGGGATGTGGGAGATCTCTTACGAAGATTCTCCCCAAAAGAGAGGGGGGATGGCTTCTTCTTCTTGTTTGCACCATCCGATAGATGAGAGACAGAGGAACTGGATCTCGATTCGAGATCTACGAGTTCCATCGGCCTGATCTGCCGCTTTGGCTTGTTTATGCGGGGCTGCTTCTTCTTTTTCCGGCGTTTCTTTCCTTTGGGTCCATGGAAGAACTACGCGATTTTGCTATGAAATCCCCACAGACGGCGCCAAATTGTTTGCTCAAAAGTTATCTCATATCTTATGAGTGCAAAACAATACAAATAATCACGGGAAAATCATAGCAAATCGTAATAATCCATTGGACCAAATGAAAGAAACAAAAAATAAGTACTCAGAATTAGGGGGAGAAACATTAAAAGCCTTTATTGATAATATTTGTTTGGTCTGCCTCTCCATGAAGAGGTTCAGAGCCTTACAATGGTGTTTTTCTCTTCCCATAAGATGGGTATATTTTTCCCTTCTCTCTCCTCTCTATAGTAGTGAAGAAGCAGCCCCCTTTCTAGGGTCCCCTCTCTTGGTATTTATAGCTGTGGGCTTCGTGAGCTGGCAATAAGTGGCCGTGACCACGTTGAGATCTCGCCTCTATAGTGGCGGATGGGCCAGGGCCTTGTTGACCGAGCCAGAGGCGGGTTGAACGTCGCCGATTCTGAGTAGTCGTGCCACTAATTAATCATAAATTAACTTAAAACGGGATTAGCCTCGTTAATTGTCGTGGGATCGGATTCTGACCCATACAACTTCATACATCGAACTACCATTTTTTTATCCTTCATGAGTTACTCTAGCTAGAAAAATAAAAGAAACGAGCAAAGATGAAAAAGTTTTAAAAAAGAATTCCTTTCTTTCTCTGTTGTGTAAAATAGAAAATCACACAAAACGAACAAAGCAAGAGAAGAAAGTAAAGCATTTTCTCTTGGACTAACTATATGTGTGATGTCCAAGCGAGAGCAAATCTTATAATTTCTTTTATTATTATCTCACCTTCACTTTCAACCTAACACCCTTTTTTGACTTATTCCTGTTATTAATTTGTATTAACTATAATATTATGCAACAGTAAATTTCTGTAACACAAAACACAAACAAGAAAAACAGAAGTAAGCAGAAGCTGGAAATAGTTAGAAACCAGAATCAGAAAATAATATTCGCTCGAGTCCAGTGAATGCACAGTGTGTCCTTAAGAAAACTATTCCCCTCAAGTATCCGAGGTGTTGGAATATTATCCCCCCAGGATAAAACGATTTAACTCACTAGAGTATCGATACCTAAAATGCTGGTGAACTTTGAACCACTTAATGATTGTAAATCACACTGAATTTATTTGTGCAGAAGAAGAAGAAGAAGTTCAGAAAATTTTGTAACGAAAATTCTGGGTCAAATTTATAGCCATTTTCTGTTACTGTTTTTGAAAAATTGCAACATTTCAGAAACAGTCATGGTTGTTGGAACAGGCAGGAATGTTTAAAATATTTTGGGAAAAGAATTTAAAATAATTCGGGAAAAGAAACGGATCCGGTCGCGTCGACAAAGATTAATCAATCAATCGATCTTTGACCAAATCCAAATCCAAATCCGAAGCCGAAGCCGAAGTCGATGCGAAGACGGCGCGAGGCTTACCTTCTTTCCAACCCATTTAACAACAAGAGAGGTGCTTTCTTAATATAAGCACATTCCCTTTTCTTTCCACTACCAATGAGGGACAATTGCTCTTTCCAAAGCATAAGGGAACAACTCACTTTCCCTTCACATTTCTTCCCTCCATGTTTCATTCACCAACTTTCAATCCCAACAATCCCCCCACATGAATGGGGAAAGGCTATAAGATAAAGGAATGCACGGACGAGTGTGTGATTTACAAGCAAGGATTAATTGCATCTGGATAAGTAGCTTTCTCTTTAAACTTTCCGTAGTGAACTTATATTGGATATACTCGGTCAATCGATAGATTCTATATCTTTGAACCGTCGAGCTTTGATGAATACCTAGACAACATAAGTCACACAATCAACCATTAACCATTTATGGTTCTCACGGTTGTGTTCGTTTCAGTCATGAACACCGCCTGGTTTCATAAGTGCTTAGGGAATGGGCCTTTACTTTTATTCCCCTTGAAACGGCTTACACTTCATACCCATATAGGTGATTTCTAAACGTGTAGTCCTATAGACACATTATCTGATCATTTCCTACCAGACTTAGCAAATCATTTGTTATACCCCATATTTTCGTACGTAAGAGTACGTCTTAAGTCAATTGATGTAAGCTCAGAAATGAGATCATCTTTGAAAGTACATAAATTAAGTTAATCATGTTACCATGAATGTTAAAAATATTTAAGATCATGAATAACTAGTACCAAGATGGTTGGAAGACTTAGAAGCTAAACGAATTGAAGAAAATATGTTTCGTCGAAACTCGACAAGTTGGGAATGTTATAACATGTACTTTTGGGGTGAGAATAGGGTGCTAAAAATTATAAGGAGATTATGTTATGATTTATTTTAGTCGTATGATAGACGTGTGTTATATTTTGAAATCAAGCGAGTTGTGGAACAAAAGTTGGAAAAGGTCATCACAAGTTACATTCATAAATATGTTGAAACATAGGTCAAGTGTAGCTGAGCTTTTCTCCTAATATACTTTGAATTAGGGGATGATCTACCTACCAAATTTAAGATCTACGAGTCTAGTTTCTAATGCATTAAACCGTTTGTCGACACAATATAGGAGTAGATAGATATTTGCAGTTTTGCGAGACTGCACAGACTGTATAGGTAACAAGTAGGTGTGTCACTAAAGCTTTTTGAGCAATACATTTAGTATATTATATGAGGTCTTTTTGGGACATGTTATATACCAAATTGAAGGTATTTGAATTTAGTTTCTAACGCTCATAATTATTTATTCATACGATATCCGGATAAAAAGATATAAGCGTTGGAAGAAGGGTCAATGCTAGGGTGCCAAGCTAGCACCTCTTTGACTTTTCAAAAGTTGATATGTATAGGGTTTTAAATCATATTTCTCTTCATTTTTCATAGAACACGACCAAAGAACTCCCAAAAACTTACCCTTAAGATCTCTACAAGGGTTCC